CCTAGACACAGACCCGGGTTCTGTACTGCCTCGCCCAGAACACGATCGACTCATTGGATGGATACAACTGAGTTATTTGGGAGTGTTTACTGCAGGATTTATCAGAGCCTTTAACTATAAAGTCTCTCTGGCAGAGAGAGAAAGACAGACAGACAGACAGATAGGCAAACAACATTTAGCATCTTTATTTGGCAGTGAAAATCTTCTGCATTGGGTTATCAAGGAATGCTGTAGGGGACACACTTTTCTCTTTCCGTGGAAGTTTGTCCACACAGCTCAGGAGAGCGGGGGTAGCAAAGTCTCACAGACCAGAGGTAGGGGAATATACCTGGTTCCAAAGTCCCATTCAATTTTCTCTCCTCCAATGTGTGGGCAGAGATCAAATCCAACCCTGCCTTGAGGTTCCTGGGGAGCTTCTTCCAGATTCAAACCCTGGGCACCCACCATGAGCCAGGGCCTGGGAATCTGCATTTTAACAGCTCCCTGGGGTCAGGGGACTGGGGCAGTCAGCAGAGCCCCGGGCTTCAAGGTGGAAGGCCTGGGTTCAAGCTCAGCTCTGTTATGGCCACCGTGAGTGACTCGGACAGGGCCTTTCCTCCTCGGCCGAGGAGACTCAATATCACTGGCCCTTTGTGCCCCTCAGAACTGAAGGAGGAGCTTGGGAATGTGCGGGAGACCCCGGGACCCTGCCGCCCTGCAGCATCTGGGGCAGACAAGGCACTGGCCTGCCGGGGAGGCGGGCTCTGGCAGGGAGCTCGGGTTCATCCAGAGAATGATGTCTCAACTCTGTTCTGGAAAGTTCACACGAGTTTACTTCTGTGTTCTTCCTGACAGCCCCCGAGAAATGGGAAAACTTGGGGTGTGTTTACTGCAGGACTTATCAGAGCCTTTAACAATATCCTCTGTGGGCCGAGTCTGTCTGGAGAGAACATTTGACATCTTTATTTTGCAGTGAAAATCTTCTGCAGTGGGTCAGCAGGGAATGTTTTAGGGTAACTCTTTAAGGCAGAAGCAACTTGCTGAAAGCCACACGTTAAGTGTGAAAGAGGGGGGCTGCTCGGGAGAGGGCTTCGCTGCTCCCCTGCCCACTTTTCAGCCCCTCCGAAGCTCTCCTTGCCCTCAGCATGCACTTTGAGCGTATTCAAAACCATCCTTACCGTCCAAAGCCCGCTCTGAGCGTCTCCACCCTGGGATGGAAGGAGGCCACCGCAGGCCGCCTCCTGTCCCCATCTCTTGCTCCTTCTTAACCCCCTCGGGGGCTGTCACTTAGGAAGGGACACAGACTGTTTGGCCCATTGTTCAACACAGATTGCATTAAACCCTCACACCAGCCCTGGGAGAAGCCAGCGTTGTTCTCAGTTTACAAATGAAGAGGCTGAGGCTCAGAGAGGTTAAGGACCTTGCCCAGTGTCATCCAGCTAGTGGGCCGCAGCGCTGGAAATGAGTCCTGGGTTCTCCGCCTCCAGAACTCCGCGTCTTCTACTTTTCTAAAGCAGACTTGGCTCCCCGCTGTTTCTTGCCACATCCTCCCGTTTTAGCGCTGTCATCGCGCTCTCTGAAACCGTCCCTGGGTCTCTCCAGCGATGTCTTTTGAGCACGGTCCCCGTGTGCTTCTCACGACCGCGTCTGGGCGCCCAGCGCCGCGTGCAACGCCCGGCCCGGAAGCGTTTGTTGTTTGACCGACGGAATGAGGGATCCTGTCACCGTGCCTCACGACCCGGGCGTCGCCTTTTGAATCGGAGGCTGCTCTTGGCAGAGGCTCCCCGGGGCGTGCGGCTGCGGCTGGGGGAGGCCGGGGCTGAGCGGGACCGGGGGAGGCGACCACCCAAGGGAGCCCGGGGACGACGGGCAGCCGAGACCCGCGCAGCCAAGGGCCCTGCTGTTTGGCACCAGGGGGCTCCTGGCTGGGGAAGGGGAAGCGGGTGCCCAGGGGTCTCCAGGGTCTCCCTGGTGAATGTCGTGGGCAGCGGCGGGGGGAAGGGAGGGGTGTGTGAATCAAGGTTCAGCTGATGTCAGGGGGGGGACCTGGTGTCTCTCCACCGTCCCCAGGACCAGCTTCACTCCAGGCCGGACCCCACCTTCTCCCAGGAGGTCCCGTGCCCTCCCCAGCACGGCTACCCACCCACCCAGGGCGGCCCCTCAACCCCGTCACCCAGGGCTCACTGTTCCACCGGCTCAGGGTGTGGCTGGGTGGCAGAGCTCAGCCCACTGTGGGAGGCCTCCCTGGCTCGTCCCCTGGGTCCCCTCCCCTGGGTCCCCTCCCCTGGGCTCCATCCCCAGCAACGTGCAGAACATCAGTTTTCCTGGTTTGGATTTTGAATAAATGAAATGATACGCGATGGAGCTCCTGGTCTGGGTTCTTTCAAAGGGTGGTGTCCGTGGAGCCACATCGGCTCTACCCAAAGTTCGTTTTTTCCACTTATGATGGTCCATTGTACCAAGCTTCCAGAGATCCTTTCTCAGACTACTATTTAAAATATGTGTGTGTGTGTGTGTGTGTGTGTGTGTCCATCCTTAGTTGTAGATGGAACAATACCTTTATTTTGTTTATTTAGTTTTATGTGATGCTGGGGTTCAAACCCAGGATTGAGTACATGCTAGGCAAGCGCTCCACACTGAGCCTCAACCCCAGCCCCACACTCAGACTGTTCGTTATTTATTTTCTGGCACTGGGGATTGAACCCAGGGGCACGCAACCACTGAGCCCCCTCCCCAGCCCTTCTTTGTATTTTATTTAGAGACAGGGTCTGGCTGAGTTGCTCAGGGCCTTACTGGTTTCTGAGGCTGGCTTTGAACTCATGATCCTCCTGCCTCAGCCTCCCGAGCTGCTGGGATGACAGGCGTGTGCCACAGGGACCAGCTACTCAGACTGTTCTGGATGGCCAATGGGTTGCTTCTGGTTTCGGGTATTATGAGTAAAGAGCCATGAATATTCCTGTACCGTCGTGTGGCTGTCATAAGTGCTATTTCCACTGGGAACATCCCCAGGGGTGGCCTTGCTGCTCCTGGGGCACATGCTTCTTTGGCTGGTGGAGGGATGGCCCAAATCTCTTCCCAAGTGGCTCTACCCCCAGCCTTAAAGTTACTGTCCTCAGGGCTGGGACATAGCTCAGCTGGTAGAGCGCTCGCCTCACACACACAAGGCCCTGGGTTCAATCCCCAGGACCACAAAAAAGAAAAAATGAATAAAAAGCTACTGTCCTCAGAGGGAGTCGGGTCATCTTAACAGTGTCCCCCACGATGCCCACTTAGGGCCCCATCTGTAGCGAGGACACCCACCTGTCAGGTGACCAGAGGCCCCGTGTGTCCTGGCCAGGTCCCGACTTCCCCATCTGCTGGCTGTGCCCTGGGACAGTCCAGCGCTCCAGCTCCTCTTTAGTGTCCCTTATTGTCACCGAGGCTTCTGTCGCGACAACACCGCCCTGCTATGAGCTGGCCACAGAGCCCAGGGTCGCAGCCCATCTTCCCCAGGAGCCTGTCCAGTGGTGTCCTCCTGTGGAGAGGCACCCAGCTCCGGCAGCGACCACGGGCCTCCAGGGCTCACCAGCAACCCGTGTGCCCTTCACCTTTTGGCAGGTTGTTCCCTGATGAGATTTCCTGGGGACCTTGGCCACAGATGGCTACCTCCCCACTTATAGTGACGTTTATGCGTTTTCCTGGCAAAGGGTGACGGTGTTAGGCTCAGTCCCCAGAGTCCAGTGCGTATCTCATATAGGATCTATGTGCCAATTCCAAAATTCATAGAAAATGCAATTTGGAAGAGACCTCAGATCCTCTCGTCCACTTCCCTCCTGTAGGTGGGGGATCAGGCTCAGAGAGGTGGCTTGAGTTGTCCAAGGTCGCACAGCTTGTTTCCTGATGAGCAGCCTGGGATTGATCCCTCCAGGTCCTCCAGGCAGGCAGGTCACCTGGATGCTCAGGCTCTGGGTGGGCACCGCCGCCACCTTAGCAGAGCCTGCTGCGGTTCAGCATGGTTTAGCAGGGCCTGCGTCCCTCCCCGCTGGGGCCCCACGTCCTTCGACATGTGCCAGGCTGCATCTGTGACGGCCTCTGTGATTAGTTCACGGCTGTCCCCTTGGCATGGTGGACGGTCCTGCTGGGGCATCGGCAGGACCCATTACCATCTCCAAGCACCTCCAGCTCTGTGGGTGCCTAGGGTTGGGAGCACCTCTCCTCTTCAGAGGACAAAGGTCCAGAGGTCTCTAGAGGCTTCCCCTGGTGATGCAGGGTGTGGGCTCCGTCCACTCAACCAGCACTCAGCCTTCGTGGTCTCTGAAGCCCCAAGCTGCCTCTCCCATGTGGCCTCTGTGTCCTTCTCAGGGGGCCTCCTCTCCCCTCCTGCCTCCTGGTGGCCTTGCAAGTTCATCCACCAACACTCACTGGGTGCCTGCCACGCTGGGGATCTCGAGATGTGGCTGAGACTGGCAGCCTGAGCACACGGGTCCTGAATCTGAGGCACCCACGGTCTGCTCTGTCGTTGTGCCTGGGGTGCAGTCCCGGAAGCCTGCGTGGAGGAAGTGACGTTTTATGTGCAGGTTTTTTCTTTTGGGTGCTGTCGTACCTCCTCGTGGTCCTCGAGCCCGTGTTAGGTCCCCACCTCTGTTCTTCCCACTCCCCACTGTGGGCAGGCAGCTGGGAAGTGGGAGTCCTCTGCCTCCTTCCCAGAGCCTGGGCACCTGTGGCTTGGAGAAGCGGCTGAGCCCAGGCTCAGGAACCAGGAGGGAACCCATCAGGGTCCTGGGTCACTGGGTCACGCTCTCTAAAGCAGATCCCAGGTGGCTGGGCTGGTGGGGACTGTTCGGTTTGGGTGAATGGGATTGGCTGAGGAAATGGGGCATGAGGGAAGCCACCAGGCCAGGCTGTGGCCTCAGCCCGTCCCCTGGAGGCCTCTGCGGAATGGCCCAGGAGGTGGAGGCTGGCCTCTCCCTGGCCTCTCAGGAGGCAGCTCCGGCCCTCTGGCCTCCGCGTCTTAGCTAAACCTGCTGCACCCTCTCTTGCAGCTCCAGCCCAGGCCCAGATCGTGCACGCGGGCCAGGCGTGTGTGGTGAAGGAGGACAACGTCAGCGAGCGAGTCTACACCATCCGGGAGGGGGACACCCTCGTGCTGCAGTGCCTGGTCACGGGACACCCCCGGCCCCAGGTGAGCCCCACCTTGCAGGCTGTCGGAGGCAGACCAGGTGCCAAGCACCAGTGAGCTCCTTTCCCCTTGGAATCCTCAAGGCCATGCTGTGAGGAAGCCTCTAATGGCCCCAGCTAAGGGAATTGAGGCTCAGAGAGGTTGGGTAAACTCCCCAGGTCACCCAGCTCCCGCGAGGCTGGAGGGAGAATTTGAATCTAGAGCCAGGGTTCTCTGGAGCTTGGCGCGCTTCCTCCCAGCGTGTCCTCCGTTGCGTTGGGGGCTCCGGGAGCGACATGCAACACAGAAAATCATCTCTATTTCAGGAGGCTTCTGGCAAGCTAGCTCCCCACTCTGGAGGTTCAAAGACCCAAAGCAATTAGAAGGGAACAGAAGACAAGTATCTGGAAATGCCAGATGCATTTTGTCACCGATCAAGTGTGTGGTTCAGGAGGGAGGCTTGGCCGCTGTGGCTGAGAGGAGGCAGAGGGAGGAGGAGGCCTGGGGGCTGGGTGGAGTCTGCGGGTGAGCTGCGTGGCCTTGAAGAGCAGCACAAGAGGTGGCAATTGATCCTAGGGAGGACAGAGAATATGGAATCCTTTTATTTCTGGGTAATTGTAGGAACTCGGTGCCTTTAATAGGTTTGACCTTGGGACAAGCAGATGCACCAGGAATCCCTGAAGGCTCTTTCAGCCTCAATCTATTATCACTGTTTGCTGCTTCTCAAAGGTTTGTTTAGAAGTGAAAATAATGTCACTGGATTTAGGGTGGTGTTTGTGTGACTGTTAGGTTGGGGACGCCTTCCCTAACAGCCTGGGAGTGGGGAGCCGGGGCTGTCTCTCGCTAAGGCTGCACCGGCCATCCGCCTGTCCCTTCATGCATTCCTGTCTGAGTCATGTCCATGCATCTGTTTTTTCCCCTCTCTCTCTCTCTCTCTCTCTCTCTCTCTCTCTCTCTCTCTTTCTTTCTTTCCTTCCAGGGATTGAACCCAGGGGCTCTTTACCGCTGAGCCACATCCCAGCCCTTTTTAATATTTTATTTAGAGACAGGGTCTTGCTGAGTTGATCAGGGCCTCGATAAATTGCTGAGGCTGGCCTTGAACTCGAGATCCTCCTGTCTCAGCCTCCGGAGCTGCTGGGATTACAGGGGTGCACCACGGTGCTGGGCTGTTTTTCTGTTTTCATGGGTGGTTTTGCTCTTTGATGGACATTATCACCTGGGGCTCATTTTGACTCTGTCCCCCTCACTCCTGTATCTATCCAGATTCCAAGTCTTTTGTTTCTATGGCCCTGCCAGGGGTCCCTCCCCCTTCCTCATCCTCCCCCTTCCTCATCACCTCTCTAAGACAGGTCTTCAGTCCTGCCGCCTGGACCCCCGCAGGGGACTGTCCCCTGACCTCCCAGCCTCTGGCCTTTCTCCCCCAAGACATTCCTACACTCTGCTCCTGGAGCGATCACCCCCAAACCTGCCACCCATGTCGCCCCCTGCTCAGTGACCTTCCAAGGTCCCCGTTGATACTCACCAGAGCGGCTCAAGCTCCGAGGGGTGGAACTCCAGACTTTCTACCCTCCGGTCCCCACCTCTGTCCTTGTCACACCTGTGCTCCTGCCCGACCTGCCTTCCCATCCTTCCCCCGCATGACCGCCTCTGCCCCCCTGCTGACCTCCCCTGAAATGCCTCCTCTTTATTTTTTGCTCATTTAATTGCAACAGATACTCATGGAGCACCTGCCGGGTTCCACCTCCAGGAGGTGAGGACGCGGCTGTAGCTTCTGTTCTAATGGAGCATCCATTAGAACATGTCTCATGGCCCACTTTGTGGTCAGGGTGGAGGGTGGTGTGGGCTTGGAAGTCCTCACAGGGGACCATCTGGGAGTCAGAAATAGAGAGGGACCCCATGGCCATGACAGGGAGCAGCGGTGGACAGGCCTGGTCTGTGGAGAGACGGCGACGGCGCCACCAGATACATTAATACACACGAGGGGTGGGGGTTGAGGCCGCAGGTCCACCATGGCTGGAGGCCGGAACTGGACTCTACTTTATAGAGCTCAGTAAAGTGGTACCACCTATGAATGGGGACAGAAGAGCTGTCTCAGCCCAGAATCACCAGCGGGAATCGACTCTCTACTTTGGGGTGTTGGCACAAACAGAACCAACTCTGAGGAAGGGCATCCCTAGACCTGTCCGTGTCCTACACTATCCTCATGGTGAAGAAACTGACGTAGAAACTGGCTGGCATCAGGAATCCCTCTTCGTAGACACTGGCAACCATAAAACTACTCTCAGACAGGCCAGACGGCCCCGTCTATGGAGGATGATCCCATTGAATTCAAGCCTGTGCAGTCGAAATTTAAAGCATATTTAAAATGTAGTACTATGATCTGGAAAGCCAGGTCACAGACCTAGCAAATAGAACAATTTATATCTGAGTAACTAGAAGAAAAAGGAGCAATCCCCAAAGATCTTCAAAACAAATATGTTTAAAATATTGGGAGATAGGGTGGAAGAAATAGAATTTATAAGATAGGAGATTTAAAAAAAAAACCTCTTCAGTTAGATAGGAATAAAAGTCAAATAGAGACCCTAGAAATAAAAATAATGTAGTCTTTCAAAAAAAAAATGGCCTCCATGCCCTAGAGATAGTTAAAGAGAAAATTAGGGAATTGTATGATAGATCTGAGGAAATAAGTCATAATGTAGTGTGGGGAAGACAAAGAGAAAATGTGAAAAAGAAGTAAAAAGACCTGGAGGATAGGAGGAGAAGCTACGAAATAAATTTAGGTGTTGTGGAAGGAGAATGGAGAATCAAGAGAGGAGGAAACCAAAGCTGAGAATTTTGGAGAACTGAAGAAAGGTAGGAGACTGCAGACGGTGAGATCAAACCAAGTCGTGAGCAGTATGTAAATCAAACCCACCTTGGAAAATCACCAGGTCCAAAAATAGGAGAAAGGTTCTCTCTTCAAAGCGCCCTCTGATCTAAGTATGGGTTTCCTTAGAGTCCCCCCAGGTTTTAGAACCTCTAGGTCCATGGGGGTTGGGGTGGGAACAGGAAATGCTGCTCCCTGTGATGAAGGCCACCCTTTCCCCCTTCTCCTCGGCCTCTGTCGAACTGTGGCCTGACCTAGTCACCAGGGTTGGGGTCCTCACCTTCCTCCATAATAATTAATCCTCCCCAGATTCAAGACTTCCACGCTCCCCTCCCCATCCTTAGACTTAATTATCTGGAACTGACCAGTCTTTGCTAAACCTCCGGCACCTTAAGGGGGTAGCTCATTCGATTATTGATATTTTCCCATAATCTATGGCAATATTAATAAGAGAAATGTGCTGAGTGACTCATGTAGGCTGGATACCGTGTTGAGTTGTTCTGTGTACTTTCTAAACCTCATCATGCCTTCGCAAAGTGGGCATTATGCTATTAGTTATTGTTGCATAACACTCTGAAATTCAGGGGCTTAACACAACATGGTCACAGGGTCCCTATGGGGCAGGAATCCAGGAGCAGCTGAGTGGGCTGGTTCTGGCACAGGGTCTCTCGGGTCTCTCGATGGCTGCAGTGTGGTGTCATCCAGGGCTGCAGTCATGCGTGGGTGGCCGTGCTGGGGACTCCACTTACAAGCTGACTCACAGGAGCTGGAGGCTTCAGCTCCTGCCCAAGCAGGCCTCTCCTTAGTGACAGCAGAGCCGGCTTTCTCCAGAGCTGACCAAGATGGAAATCAGACTTTTCAACCTCATCTGTATCCTATTGGTCACCCAGCTCGTACAAAGTGGGAGGGGGCTACTGAAGGGGGGAATACCAGGAGGACCTTAGAGACAGTCCCCCATGGACCCTTTGCACACAGAAATCTGAGGCTGAAAGAGGAGCTACCTACAGGGGGTCACTAAGCCAGTAAGTGGAATAATACAGAAATTTTGATCAAATTCTTAGACTTGCAGGCATAAAGTATGTATTCATTTAATCCTCCCAGTAACCCCAGGAAGGGATAATATTCCCCATTTTACAGATGAGGAAGGAAAGGCAGGAGACGGTAGCAACAGCCACAAATCCACGTGGTCCACATGGTCCACAGCACCTTGCCTCTGCCCTAAGCCTCCTTCATCTGACCCTGGATTCCCAGGGCTCGTCACCCCGTGGTGTCCCGCCCGACCTGCGCACTCCCACCAGACTGAGTTAGCCCTGAACGTGCCTCCAGTGCGACTGTGCCAACAGCAGGGCTCGAAGAGGTCACTGTTGCAGGGTGTTCGGTCCCAGCCCCCGCCTCACTGCTGGGTCTGACTGCCCGATCCGCCTCATCCAGGTGCGGTGGACCAAGACCGCGGGCAGCGCGTCCGACAAGTTCCAGGAGACGTCGGTGTTCAACGAGACCCTGCGCATCGAGCGCATCGCGCGCACGCAGGGTGGTCGCTACTACTGCAAGGCGGAGAACGGCGTGGGCGTGCCGGCCATCAAGTCCATCCGCGTGGACGTGCAGTGTGAGTATAGGTCCTCGGCTCCCTGCGCCCTGGCCGCCCCACCCTGGGCCAGGTGGGGAAGGGGACAGGATGGAGAAGTGGCACCTCAGTGGGGGGAGGTGGTAGAGACTTTCTGTCTTGGGGACTAGAGTTGTCTCTGTTGTCCCTCTGCCCCGTGTGTCCCTATACCTTTTACACTTGCCTTTCTGTCATCCCATATGAGTTTTGCAACATCCCTGCAAAGTGGGCAGGACAGGCTGAATTATACCCCTTCCACGGCTGAGAAAACTGAGGTACCCAAGGCACGTGATGTGCTACGGGCATAGAGTAGGACCATGTCTATCTGAATGGAGAACCCAGGGCCCTCGCCCGTGATCCGGTGCTTTTCCCACCGTATCTCACGTCTCTGATTCTGCCCCAGGGCCAGCCGAGGCTCCCCAAATACCTGTAAGACCCTGCACCCACCCACACACTGACCCAGTCAACAACCCTGGCTGGACATGGGGCTCTTTCAGGCATCTTTAAAAAAAATACTTCCAGAGGTTCTGATAGAAGTGTTAAAAAATGTGGCATGACATCAGGATTAAAAAAAAAACTTATTTAGAGCATTAATCTACATCTAATAGAATGCACTGATCTTAAGTTATCAGTTCAATCCCTTGTCATGTAGCACGTGTATGTGCAAACACTCTCCATTTCAAGATGTAGAGCATTTTCAGGAGCCTAGAAAGTTCCCTCTCCCAGCCAGCAATGTCCCCAGAGGCAATCGCTGTTCTGACACCATCACTGAGCAGGGCCGGGGGCCAGGATTAGGAAGAAGCCCTCCCTGTGGGTCTGTTGTGCACCAGGGTGGAAAGCCACCAGGCGAGTCGAATTCACCAGTGAGGAAACCGAGGCCCAGAGAGAGGGGACTTTGGCGGGTTTCACTATAAATTCACAGCCGAACAGGGAGTCGAACCAGGGTTCCCTAATTTCTGGTCCGTAGCTCCTTCCTCTATCCCATGGTGGGCGGGCATGGGTCTGGATGGGTGTCTTGACCCACATGCTGGTCCCTGAGGAGGAGCAGCTGGGAGGAGTCTGGGAAGCCATCAGCCCCAGTCCCCTGCCTCTAATTGGTGGGTCAAGCTTAAAGGGCTGAGGGGAGCACCTGGCTTTCTGGAAGCATCCTTTGAGCTTCCAGCAAAGGAGCTTCTCAGAGAAAGCTGAGCCGCCCACCTTGGGGACATTCCTTCCTGACTCCTGGGGACTGTGTGCTGCAGACCTGGACGAGCCAGTGCTGACGGTGCATCAGACCGTGAGTGACGTGCGAGGCAACTTCTACCAGGAGAAGACGGTGTTCCTGCGCTGCACGGTCAACTCCAACCCGCCCGCCCGCTTCATCTGGAAGCGGGGCTCGGACACCCTGTCCCACAGCCAGGACAACGGGGTGGACATCTATGAGCCCCTCTACACCCAGGTCAGGAGGGACGCTGGCTCAGCCCACACTCCTCCCCCTCAGCCCCCAAGGAGAGGCTGAGGCCCCCTGATGTGGACTTCTCCGGGTGGCCTGGCCTCCCTAGCTCGCTTCCTGGGTCAGAAGCGCGGATGCTGATTGTAGCGCGACAGCCCGGGGCTGGTGGAGTCAGAGCAGAAAGGTCAGGGAGCAGTGAGGACAGGGGTCCCTCCAAGGCCACATGCTCTCCAGAAATGCCAGTTAGAAGGTCCCAGAGGGACAGGCTAGCTCCTGCCTGCCGCCCACTGACAGTATCAGAAACCCATGGCGGGTGCTGAAGGCGTTGGGGGCAGGGAGATGTCTCCCAAGGGCCCTCTGGGGTCCCAGGAGGTGGTGCTGAGGCCGTCCTGCTAGGGAGGGCTTTTGGAGGTAGCTTTCAGAGCCCTCCGCGTGGCCTGCGGGCCAGCCCCATGTGGGTTGTGAGAGGGAACAGGACGCTGGCCCCACCCCTCCATTTCCCAGAATAGGAAAACTGAGGTCCTGGCCAGGGTGTGCCAGCGCAGCCTCAGAGCCAGAAGGGCCGGTGCAGAGGCGTTGCTGGGGGCAGGGAGAGCAGCCCCACCCAGGCTCGGGGTCCCTGGGCTGAGTGTGTGGGTGGGGACTGGGAAAGTGGGGATTTGGAGAGGAATTTGCTGCTGCCTGTGGGCTGGGTCCAGGAGGGTGGGGGTCCCTGGAGAGCCAAGCAGGATCCTCACGCCAGCGGTTCACTGCTGCCCAGGGGGAGACCAAGGTCCTGAAGCTGAAGAACCTGCGGCCCCAGGACTATGCCAGCTACACCTGCCAGGTGTCTGTACGTAACGTGTGTGGCATCCCAGACAAGGCCATCACCTTCCGGCTCACCAACACCACGGGTACAGGCGCTTCCCGGCCCACGCCCCTTGCCCGCCTGGGCCAAGTCCCCAGCCAGGAGACAGTGCCCCCCACCGCATCCAGTCCCGTCCCCTCTGCCTGCTCCCGTCTCCCCTCTCATTTCCCCCCACCCCCCGCCCAGGTTTCCCCAGCCCCTTCATCTCATCCTCCCCTAGTCACCGCGGTCCCCTAAGACCCCACCTCCTGTCCCCTTAGCACCGCCAGCCCTCAAGTTGTCTGTGAACGAAACTCTGGTGGTGAACCCTGGGGAGAACGTGACGGTGCAGTGTCTGCTGACAGGCGGGGACCCCCTGCCCCAGCTGCAGTGGTCCCACGGGCCTGGCCCACTGCCCCTGGGTGCTCTGGCCCAGGGTGGCACCCTCAGCATCCCGTCAGCGCAGGCCCGGGACTCCGGCTACTACAACTGCACAGCCACCAACAACGTGGGCAACCCTGCCAAGAAGACCGTCAACCTGCTGGTGCGATGTACGTGGCCTCAGGAGGGGTGGGAGGGAGACTGTGAGGCAGACAGGGCCCCTGTCCTCCAGGAGCTACCAGTGAACTGGGCAAGGGGAGTCGCTTCCCAAGGGCTTCGATTTCCCTGCAATTCAGTCATCTGCCAGCAGATGGCAGAAGGACTAACATTGGTCCTTTAGTTAGAATACCCATGCGTTTGCCAGGTACAATCTCAGCAATCCAAGAAGGTGCATGGGCTGGTATTGGTCACCTACAGTTGGTTTGTTTAGATTGGGGTGTGGATGCTGCAAAAAGCTAACTATGGACACTCCAGAAATTTCCTGGCTTCCTCCCTTTACAGTGGTTTCTACATGATTAACTGGATTTAAGTGAAAATAACACACATTTCCACATGCTTTATATGCAAATCCTTAATAGCAAATCATTTCTGTGACTCTGAAGATAATTACTGAGGGTGAAAATGATACAAAAATTGGAGCGCAGTCTCAGGAAGCACAGACCTTTCCTCCCTAACCCTCGGCCTCAGTAGTTTCACCAATGACTGTTCACCATGGTCTCGCTTTTGCTATTCTGATTTGAGGAGAAACTTCAAATTCTTCTACTTGTACAGCTTTAGGTGGTTTTGTTTTTAAGATCCAGGCTTGTTCCTAGTTCTTTTTTTTTTTTTGGTGGGTGCCAGGGATTGAACTCAGGGGTGCTCGACCACTAGGCCACATCCCCAGCCCTATTTTGCATTTTATTTAGAGACAGGGTCTCACTGAGGTGCTTAGCACCTTGCTCTTGCTGAGGCTGGCTTTGAACTTGTGATCCTCCTGCCTCAGCTTCCTGTGCTGAGGAGTATAGGGATTACAGGCATGGGTCACCTCGCCTGGCCTTATTCTTAGCTCTTTAGCCAAAGTACAACTGCTACCAAATTTCGTTGAGAGTCTGATGACATGGGCTCTGTTCGTGTCTCACTGACCAGTTAGGTTTCTGACTATCCTCACAGAAAGAAGTTAGCTCTCTCTGTACTTGCACTTAGTCAGATTGAGAAAGAAATAGGTGGATGTGGTAGCATGTACCTGTAATCTTAACGACAAAGGAGACTGAGGCAAGAGGATCACAAGTTCAAGGCCAGCCTCAGCAATTTAGTGAAACCCTGTCTCCAAAACAACAACAACAACAAAAAATAGTGGCTGATGACTACTTTTTCCTTTGATGGAACTTTTCCTATCAGAAGATTATTTTCCTCCACCTGATTCCATTTGGACTTTAAAACCTGAGTTGGTGAGATCTCAATTTACATTGGCACTATGATTGCGTCTCAGGGTGACTCTGTTGCTTGTTTTGCCCGGGCCAGTCCTGATTTGTGACTGTTGTACTGGCTCTGTATTTTAATGTAATTGCATGGAAGATGATTGTTTTGATCTTTTATTATAAAATCACACAGAGTTGTTGCAGAGAGTCAACCAGCACAAAAGGGGAAAAAAATGTACAAATTAATTGCCCTTCCATTTCCCTAAGTTCTACTCTTTAGATGGAAACACGAGTACAAGGTGCTGCCTTCCAGGTTGGGATTTTGCATATTCAAGACTTAATACAAAACTAGCTGGATGGGGTGGTGCACCCTTGGAATCCCAGCAGCTAGGGAGGCCAAGGCAGGAGGATCTCAAGTTCAAAGCCAGCCTCGGCAACTTAGTGAGGCCCTGAGCAACTCAGTAAGACCCTGTTCCTAAATAAAATACAAAAAGGGCTGGGGATGTGGCTCAGTGGTCAAGTGTTCCTGAGGTCAATCCCTAGTACCCAAAAATAAAACAATAATAAAAAAAAAAAACAGAGAGAAAAGGATTTAATGAAAAATTAAAAATACAGCCGTGTAGTGGTCCAGTTAGCTAAACTGCCTAAACCCCATCTTTGTGAAATGGGGACAATAAAGCAGCCCCCACAAGACTGTGGGATGGGTTGAATGAGTGAACCTCTATGAAGTGCCTAGGACAGTGCCCCTCGCTGGGAGCGCGTCCATCGGCAGTGGCTGTCGGGTTACCAGACTCGCTGTCCTGCAGGGAGCTTTACAGACTATTGGAAGCCACCGAGTGAGCAGAACAGCTTCCGAGCAGAGAAAAGCAATGGCCTCTCCTGGGGGTGGGTTGCAGCCCCCAACCTCCACGAGGACCTGTTTCGGGGAAAGCCGGGTTGGGTGGGGGTGGGACCCCGGCTCTGGGCCAGGCCCCGTCACCTTCCCTCCCGCCCCCCTGCAGCCATGAAGAACGCCACCTTCCAGATCACCCCCGACGTGATCAAGGAGAGCGAGAACATCCAGCTGGGACAGGACCTGAAGCTGTCCTGCCACGTGGATGCAGTGCCCCAGGAGAAGGTGACCTACCAGTGGTTCAAGAACGGCAAGCCAGCACGCATGTCCAAGAGGCTGCTGGTGACCCGCAATGACCCCGAGTTGCCTGCCGTCACCAGCAGCCTGGAGCTCATCGACCTGCACTTCAGCGACTACGGCACCTACCTGTGCATGGCCTCCTTCCCCGGGGCGCCGGTGCCCGACCTCAGCGTGGAGGTCAACATCTCCTCTGAGACAGGTGGGAAGCTGGAGGGGCATCGGGGGAGCCGGAGAGGCCCAGGATGGGGAGGTGGAGGCCGTAGCTTGGGAAAGTGAGCCGAGTGCCATCTGTTCATGCTGCACACTTTATGAAGTCCTTGTTATATGCCAGGCACTGGGCTAGGCCCTGGAGTACAGTGGGTGGGAGGAATAGGCTTTGTCCTCATTGAGCTTCATAGGAAGGCAAACATTTTTCAGATAGCCTCATAAATAAATAGATCATTGCAAACTGTGATACATAAGAGTCTAGGGAGTTTACTGGGATGGGATATTTGAGAGAGGGTCAGGATTTTACTAGGCAAAGGACAGCAAGGGAAGTTTAGAAAACAGCAATGCCAGCCCCAAGGAATCAGCATGTGCAAAGGCACTGAGGTATCTGGAGAACTGAAGGGAGGGGGTGTGTGGCTGGGAGAATGGAGTGAGATGAACTGGGAGAGGTCAGCAAGGTTAGATTATGTCCAGTATTATGTCCAGTCTTGTAGCTGGGTTAGCTTGCTTAAATTGCCATAGCATAGTACCATAGATGGCAGCTTCAGTAGCTGAAATGTATTTTTCATGGTTCTAGAGGATAAGTCTGAGATCAAGGTATCAGCAGGGCTGGTTTCCTCTGAGGCTTCTCTTCTTGGCTTGTAGATGGCCACCATCTCCCTCTGTCTTCACAGGGTCTTTCTTCTGTGCATGTCTATGTCCTAATGTTGGACACTAGTCCTGGATGTGGGAGCACCCTTCTGACTTCATGTAACTAGGATTACTTCTCCTATCCCCCTCCCAAGTATACACACATTCTGAGGCAGTACTGTTTTGTTTTGTTTTGTTTTACTTTAACAGATAAATTTGGTAGGGGGAGCACAATTCAGCTCATAACAGTCATGGGAAGGATTGGGGTCTTTCTTGCTAGAACAACAGTAATAAATAATAATGAAATGAAAATGGCTGACATTTACTCTTTACTGTGTGTTCTGATGATTTTATGTTTTTCTTGTTCACTTTGTGATTTACCTAGTGGTCTAATCTCTCCTTAGTAGTTTATCTTATCATTTTTACAGTTGGAGAAACTTAGGCTCAGAAAGTTGGAGAAACTTAGTTAAGGTTATACTACAGTCAGTGGTGGAGCGGGCAGAGCCAGGCAGCCTGGCTTCAGGGTCTGCACTGAGAACAACAGGCCGTTGGAAGGGAGCTCTTGAGACCCCCCAGAATGTCTCTATTCCAGGCACCTTGTATGGGGGAGCAGGCTGGCTTTGGGCAGCTATTCACGCGACCAGATGCAGAAGTGAGGACTCTCCTTGTTAGGAGTCTCTCCTCCTTGGGCTCTTTAACTCTGACCTCAGTTTCTCTCAGTGAGAGATTAGACCAGAGGCCCGACCCTTCCTGACATCTCTACAAGGGGAGACCCAGTGATCCTGGAGAGGTCAGGAAAGGCTTCTCCCCCAGAGCCCACAGATGCTACAGATCAGTGCACGGACCGCTCTGTGCCAGGTCTCCTTGAGAAGCTGGGGATCCAGAAGTGAATGTCACAGCTTCCTCCTCGGAGCTCTCTGCCTGGCCAAGCGGGGAGAGGCATGTTGGGGAGGCAGTTAGCAAGGCAGGAAATGGCAGGGAAAATTCTGGAATTGAGACGTGGAGGTGAAGGAGGTGTCTGTGGGTCAATCTGGGGGCACTGAGAAGCTGTACCAGGCTGCCTGGGGAAGTCGGAGGAAGCTTCTCAGAGGAGGAGTCCTCCCTGTGAGCCTTGGAAGATACGTTGGGATTTGCCAGGCAGGGGGACAAGCCCAGACAGAACGGGGGTGTTCCCCAATTGCAGGAGATTTGCTGTGTCCGGGGAGTGTTTCTTACAAGTGAATCCTGTACGGGCAGCAGGGGCCGGAGCCTAGGCCTTGTTTGCAGCGCTGAGGGGTTTGAGCTCTGAGGTGGCTGCCCGGACAGGGAGAGCAGCTCTTTAGCCGGTGCGGATGGAGAGGGTTGGGAGCTGGGATGTTTTACAAGTCAGCAAGGGGCCCAGGGCTGTTTCTCCATTTGGCTTATAGATCTGGTGCCTAGGGCATGGCAGATTTTTAAGAGTCCTTGGAAATGATTTAGACCTGGAAAAAAAATAAATGAACTGGCTTCAAAATACAAAGAGAAAAACTGCAAAAATAAAGGCAATAAATGTCTCAATGTTTATAAGATATAAATGATGTTTATAGATATCTGGACCTTAGCTTGCCTGGTAGAGTTATTTACAAATACTAATTTGCCATTTAATTCTATTTAATGTTAAATACTTAAGTTTTCATGATAAAATGCATGGGTGCATTTTAATTTGTTTGATGTGGTTTATGGGATGGGACCCAGGGAAGTCTTCAAAAGACTCTTCATTTGTGCCATGTGTTGGGTTGGATTAGATTCAGCTGTGAATAACAGAATTCTAATTAATGGTGGCTTAGGGGCTGCGGGGTAGCTCAGTGCTAGAACCTTGCCCAGCCCACTCAGGCTCTGGGTTTGATCCCCAGCAGCACCACCACCACTACCAAAACACACACACACACACACACACACACACAAAAAAAAAAAACAAACAAACAAAAACAGGTGCCTTGGACAATGTAGGTGTGCATCGATTCCTCAGGCAGATATCTGCTGTGGAGCAGTGTGCCTTTGTGCAGGGCCCCGGGTTCCATCTACCTTGCTGTTCCATCATCCTTAGCATGGGTCACCTTGTCTTGGAATGGCACAGTCTCTTCATTTTAAAAAGACCTTTATTTTCCCTCATCATCCATTGGCCAGAATTAAGTTATGTGGCTACAGCTACTCATGGCTGTGTGGCCTGCTAAAGGCATTTATTACTCTGGAAGAAAAGGTAGGGGGACTAGAGGCTGTAATAATACTCCAGAGGAGAAAAGATAAAGGTTTTAACTGAGGCAGGGCCAGGGTTAGGAGAGAGGGACTTGAGAGAGGAGAGATTTAGAAATGCACAAAAGGTGGAATCCCCAGAACTTAGTTGTGTTGGAGAAGAAGAAACAGGCCAGGCGGACTCCAGGTCTCTTGGAATAGGGGGACCCTGATGTAGAGATGTAGGAAGGAGGTGGTACTTACTGTCAGGGAGGGTGGGTTTTGCTTTGGGGGTTCTGAAGGTCCCAGGGGAATCTGGGGTAGGGGAAGGAAGCACCTAAGAGGGAGGAGAGCCTGAGGCCTGGGCCCAGCCCTAACTTCCTGCCTGCTGTCCCCTGCTCCTCCTGCAGTGCCGCCCACCATCAGCGTGCCCAAGGGCAGGGCGGTGGTGACCGTGCGCGAGGGCTCCCCCGCGGAGCTCCAATGCGAGGTGCGAGGCAAGCCCCGGCCGCCCGTGCTCTGGTCCCGCGTGGACAAGGAGGCTGCCCTGCTGCCCTCGGGGCTGCCCCTGGAGGAGACCGCCGATGGGAAGCTGCGGCTGGAGCGCGTGAGCCGGGACATGAGCGGGACCTACCGCTGCCAGACTGCTCGCTACAATGGCTTCAACGTGCGCCCTCGCGAGGCCCAGGTGCAGCTGAACGTGCAGTGTGAGTCTCCCCCACCCACCAGACCACCTTCCGAGCCTGGCGCTTCTCCACCATCCATCACCCACTCAGCCCAACCAACCCCTCCACTACTGCCGCCTCAAATCTCCTTGACCCGGGATCTGTGTCCCTTGCCGCAATTCCCCCATCAAACGTCTCATCCTCATTTCCAGTGACCTGTGAACATAGAAGTAACTAAAGGAGGGATTTTAAAGGAGGAGGAAGGATCCTCAAGGGGAACGCAGTATGATAACAAAACGTTGAAAACTCACTAATGCCCAATATTAATTCATTGAACCCCCACAGTCCTATGACTAGATCCTATTATGCCTCCCTTTTCACAAATAGGGGACCCGAGGCACAGAGAAGTCAAGTGACTTGTCTAAATTCTCACAGCTAGATGACAGCAGGGCTGAGACTTGAACCTAGCCATCTGGCTCTAGAGATAGTGCTGAAAACCCCGATATTGCTTGGGGTGTGATGGTGAGGGCCCCACTTAAGGCACAACTAGAGGTCCACCCGGGCAGCGCGGCTGGACGGAATGGGCAGGAGGGAGTGAGCATCCGCGTGGCTCTTGTGTGACCGTGTTGTGAGTTTGAATCCTCCCTGAGATCCTTCGGGGCTGGGAGGGTCACAGGACTAAGAGCCAGTGCGTCGCCTCCCCTCGGGGCCGCTCCCCAGTCCCCACTCGGTGGGGAGAGGCCCAGCTAACTGCTGTCCCCACCGCCGCCCCCAGTCCCCCCGGAGGTGGAGCCCACTTCCCAGGACGTGCGCCAGGCCCTGGGCCGCCCCGTGCTCCTGCGCTGCTCGCTACTTCGAGGCAGCCCCCAGCGCATCGCCTCGGCCGTGTGGCGCTTCAAAGGGCAGCTGCTGCCGCCGCCGGCCGTCCTCCCCGCCGCCGCGGAGGCCCCGGACCACGCCGAGCTGCGCCTGGACGCCGTAACCCGTGAAAGCAGCGGCAGCTACGAGTGCAGCGTCTCCAACGACGTGGGTTCGGCGGCCTGCCTCTTCCAGGTCTCGGGTGAGCATCCCGTCGGCCCCACCCCGCCCACACCCTCACCGACCTGGGGCAAGGCCCCCTTCCCCGTCTCGGACCCTGCCATCCCTGACTGGGCCGGTTCCTTTAATGTCCGCCTGCACCAGTCATGAATCCAAGCTTTTCCAAGACCCGCCCAAGCCAGGTGCAGAGCCCGCCTGATGCCACCCAGATCCAATTTTTGAGGTCCTCTTACAGCGCTGTCCACTCCAGACAGCCAGCTAGGTCCCCTCCACTCATGCCCTCTCTAGATCTAGGCCTTCCGCTTTCAAGGGCCACTCATACCTGTCCTAAGCCCCGCCCACTATAGCTTAGTCCCTTTCCTTGGCCTCTTACAGCCACGCCCCTTTCAAACCCAGCTTTCACCAAGCTTAGGCTCTTGGGGTTAAAGACCCACCAGCGCAGCATCTAGGCCCCACCTATAGGACGCATAAGCTCCACCCCCTGTACCCTTGTCCAATCCCAGCTCTGTGCTTCCAGCCTACAGCCCCGCCCACACTCAATCCTGGGCCCTAGCCCTAAGGCAACCATCTGGGTTCACACTCCTCCTTGGCCCCAGAGCCGGCAGATGGACCTGACTGTAGTGTAGAGGGGAGAAAATGCTCCTCAGCAGCTTCTCTGGAGTGTCAGGGCTGGAACTGGGTCCGCCAGCACACATCCCCTGAGCTGTCACTCTAGAGGTACAGGCCCTTTAGTGCCCAGAAATTCCCGTCAGCTCCAACTCTACACCAAGGCATTCCCTGGCGGTGGAAGGTCAGAAAGGCATGGAAGTCATGGAGAGGGTCGAGGGGGACAAAGAGGCGCTGCTTGGTCGGACACCAACCCCTCCTTTCTCCTTCATTTGGGAAGAGCCGCCTTCCTGCCTGGGCCTCTGGGCCCTGGAGGAGAGTTGCAGACCACCCGTCCTCCATTCCACCGCACTCAGTTTTCCCAACAGCCCCTAAATGCCTGGGTGTCCTTCAACTCTTGTTCTGGTCCCGCCACTTGACAGCTGGGGGCTAGGCCTGCAGGCCGCTGGCCACCTTCCCAGCCCCTTCCCCACCCACTCAGCCCTGCTAGTCAGAGGCCCCTGTGACATTTCCCACCTCCTTCCCTTCTCCCCTGTTCTCCCACACTCTCCCTGGCTCCCACCTTTTGGCCTGTATCCATTTCCTCTCTTCCTTTCCTCTCAATATCCCTGACCCTTCTTTGTGTCTTTCCCCCAATTCTCCCTAATATCCCTTCCCTGTGTCCAAATTTCCCCTTTCCCTTTTTCTTCCATGACCTTTCGTCTTTGTTCTCACCAATATCATCTCTTGGGACCTGCAATCTCCCTTCTCTCCATCTCCTCCGCCCTCATCCTCCCTTTCCCCTCTTCTTCCAACATCACCTCTCCTCACATGGCTTCCTTTCTCTTTGTCTCCCTCCCATGTCCCCCCTCCTGTCTCCCTCTCCCACGCCTCCTTTCTCTGTCTCTCCCATCCCCACCCTTCCATGGCCCCGTGCCCCCCTCCCTGCCCTCTCAGCCAAAGCCTACAGCCCGGAGTTTTACTTCGACACCCCCAACCCCACCCGCAGCCACAAGCTGTCCAAGAACTACTCCTACGTACTGCAGTGGACGCAGAGGGAGCCGGACGCTGTTGACCCTGTGCTCAACTACAGACTCAGTGTCCGCCAGGTGGGCCACGGGGGAGCAGGGCCCTGAAGCAGGTGGGGCGTGGTGTGACTGGTCCTGGAAATGTTCCTCAAGGACAGAGGAAGGGTCTGGAGACAGGGACTCGGAAGCTTTGACCCTCTCATAAAAACTCTTCAGAGGGGCAGAGAAAAGGTGTTCTGGATGTAGCAGCAGGAACTGGGAACCGCTAGGCACCTATCTTCCCTGGGCACAGACCTGAGAGGTGGGCAAGAGATGGCTGGGTTCATGGGGGGCCAGCATGGGGGGGCCTGTGAGCTCGTGGGTGTGGAGGCTGGAGCGGGGCCTCTGCGATGCAGGCAGAGCCTGTGTGGGCTGTCCTGCCTGCCCTAATTCCATGTGGTTCTCCCAGCCGGGAGGCAGGGGTGTGGAGGGTCGGAGTGTGGCTCTGGGGGACACTGCGGAGGCTAGAGTTCAGCTTGGGCAAGCTTATGTCTTGTTTCACTTACTGATCTTAAAATGGAGGTTAGTTTTAATATTCTATCTCATTTGAGGATTCAATGAGTTCATTAATGGCAAAGCATTTAGAACTGCGTCCAACACACACTAACTGTTCCATACCTGGCAGCCCTGGGTAGAGAACCTGCAAAGGGCGACTGTCCCTTCTAATAGATGAGGAGACCAAGGGCCCGATGTCCTAGGCCTTTGTTCTTTCTGCTTTCCCAAGCGCCAGCCCACAACTCCCACCAGGTCACCCCAGGCTCTAGGCTGGTGCTCCAGTGGAGGGCGTGGCCTGCCGGGCATCTGGGAACTCCCTGTATCTACAGTTGAACCAGCACAATGCCATGGTCAAGGCCATCCCTGTGCGGCGTGTGGAGAAGGGGCAGCTGCTGGAATATCTCCTGACTGATCTCCGTGTGCCCCACAGCTATGAAGTCCGCCTCACGCCCTATACCACCTTTGGGGCTGGTGACATGGCTTCCCGCATCATCCACTACACAGAGCGTAGGTGACGGTGGTGGGGGGTGGGGAAGGGTGGGCCCAGCTCCTGCCCAGGGGCTCCCTCTACTCTCCCTGTGTGGTTCCTGAACTCGGAGCTCCCCACTGTGTGCTCTCTTACCCTGTCACCGTAGGCCAGGCTTGCTGGTCCCCAGTCCTGGCTCTGAGGACCTGTTCCCTCACCCCAAGCCCCGGCATCCTCTGCACAGCCCCACACTTGGTTTTGACCTGGTTTCCTTGCTTGCTTTCTCAGCCATCAACTCTCCGAACCTTTCAGGTAAGACCTCTGCACCCCATGTCTTCCCCTTTAGGGACACAAAGGCTCTCCAGGCAGGGGGAAGGGATTTTGAGAGAGACACAGAAAGTGACTTCTCCCTGTCATGGGGTCAGGGCCAGCCACCTGAGGCCTGGGATGGAGCCGTTTGCATCCAGGATATATTCTGGGGCTTAAAGGCTGGTTGTTGTTGGTGGTGGGGTGTCCACTGTCCCCAAAGGGAAAAAGAAGGCAGGTTAATCCATACCCTCTGTTCCCCGAAGCAGGGCTCCCTAATCTGTGACCCACGAACCTCCAAGAGATCTGTGCATAGAATTCAAGGGGTACATGAACCTGGGGAGGGGCATATAGTTATTTCCCTAACTTCTAGCAGATTTCAACATTCCCTTCAATAATGAATATGCAACAAACCACAGGCAGCAAATCAGGACCCGTGACGTTGTCATCAGTGGAAATCCAGTGTTTTCCCATCGTCTTACAGTTGTTGCAGACAGCTCTAAATATCATTTACATTCCTTAGTATTTCAAAACTACAGTCGTGATTAGAACTAACATGAGATTTTGTGATTTAATTAGACCATAAAGCAGCCCAGTTATTACACAACAAATTATAAAAATATCTTGACAACTTTACTTCAATATAATTGATTTCCTTTGTAATTCTGTACATTTCATTTAATGTGTCTAAGATCGTTATTCTGAGACGGGATCCTTAAGCTTCACTGCATGTTGGAAGGGTCTGGGGCACAGAGCCTTGCTCTGGGAACAAGTGTGTCCTGGGCCCCGTGGCCAGGTCTCTTGGGCCCTGAGATCCTGGGCCTCTTGCTTAGATCCGTGGGAGCTGCCTCAGGTGGCGGTGGAGGCCGAGGCTGAGCCTCTTCCTCTCTGCGGCTCCTCATGCCCTAATGCAGATAACACCTGCCACTTCGAGGACGAGAAGATCTGTGGCTACACCCAGGACCTGACAGACAACTTTGACTGGACGCGGCAGAACGCTCTCACCCAGAACCCCAAGCGCTCCCCCAATACCGGCCCCCCCACTGACATCAGTGGCACCCCTGAGGGTAAGGACATTGCCTGTGGCTGGGAATGACAGGGAAGGGGCTAGGCCCAAGCAGCCCCGTTTTGAGGGTGGAGGACCTCAGGGATCCTCAGGGATCCCCTGAGAAGGCGCAGCCCTGACCTCAGAGGGAGGACAGAACTCTGTCCCGACTGAGGATCGGGAAAAAGAGACATTAGCAATGGCGTTCAGAACGCACAGCCTCTGCCCAGAGCCCTGGGCTGCACCGTGAGGGCTGTGGGGAGGGCAGGCTGAGGTCAGGAGGCCATCAGAGGCCGGGGGAGAGGGGCGGGGGCGTGAGGAGGAGCCTGGTGGCACATCTCCCCCTCCCCCATCCCCGCAGGCTACTACATGTTTATTGAGACCTCGAGGCCCCGGGAGCTGGGGGACCGTGCGAGGCTGGTGAGTCCCCTGTACAACGCCAGTGCCAAGTTCTACTGCGTGTCTTTCTTCTACCACATGTACGGGAAGCACATCGGTGAGTCTGGGACAGGGAGTCTGCCGGGTGGAGGGAAGAGGGGCCGCAGGAGGCCGGGGGCTGGCCCACGCGAGGCCCGAGCTTCCCCACTTGGCTAAACCACGGTCCTGGAAGGGACCTGGCAGAAGGTTGGCCAGGGGAGGAGACAACCTCAGCCGTCTGAGGTTTTGAGGTGATCACAGCTTCCTGAGTGCAAATAAAAAGGGTCTAACAGGAGGAGGTGGAAGTCGTGCAGGGGATGGAGGAACAACGCGCATTGGCATATACCGCGGGCCTGCCAGATGCCAGGGATGTCCGTACAACTCAGAGAAGTTAAGCATTTGCCCAGGACCACGCGGCACAGCCCCCAAGTGGGACTGACTTCCCCAAGTCCTAAACTTGGGATTGGAAGGGTGCTTCTTTATGAGACCTGAGAGGAAGTCTTGCTTCGTGAGCGTGAGAGTACACTTAAGGAACGCTGTTCGGGAAGAGATGGCATTAATAGGGGTGTCACTTTAATCCATGAGCTCATCAGTTCAGCCAACGCTGGCTCTGCGGGTATCAGGTGCTGCGGGGCAGGAGATGGATGAGTTTCCTGTCTTCTTGTCACCTACAGCCCAGGGGGAGAGAGAGAGAGAGACTGACATCAAACAACTAATGGCATCAGAGAGGAGTTAGGGGCCACCGTTGCAGTGGACCCAGTGGGGCCAAGACAGCTTGCCCACTCTTGGGGCTTGGTCCTAGGAGGTTCTGCTGAGGAAATGATGATTGTTAAAATTTTGTTTAGGTCTGGGAAAGGGCATGTATTTCTCCCAGGTCAAATGATTCAAAAAGGGTACACAATGAAGATGTCCTTCCCAGTCCTCTGCCACCCAGAGCCCTTCCCCAGAGACAATCAATAGACAGATTGGGGCATATCCCCAGGGATACATTATGCCTTGAGAAGGCAGCATGCACACACACACACACACACACACACACACACACACACACACACCTTCCCCTTCTGTGCACTGCCCGGTGCTCACCTGCTCTTGGCGATCACTCTTTATCAGTCCACAGAGAGCTTCTAGTCGTTTTCCTCTGCTCTTAGCAGAGGAATGACTTTGAGCAGGCATAGACCTCCAGGGTGGAGCCATGGGTCAAGGGGGGCTGATGAAGCAGAATGGGTGGGGTGGAGGTTCTGCACCCACAGGGGGCCCCGGGTCACCCACACAAACCAGTTTGCCCACGGATGGGTGTGAACTTTGGGGGAGGTTTTCTCTGGAGTAGTGAGGTGGGGGACCAGGATGGCTCAGCCCTGCCTGCCCAGCCCTCTGGTCTCCATTCGGCTTCCTGAGTTAGAGGTGCCAGTTCTTGCTGGCTTGCCCCGGCCCCTCCCAGTTCCATCCTCACATCCCCTCTGTGTCGGGTCTACTGGGACAGTTGGTCACTGTCCACTCAGGAGGGGCAGACCAGCGCCAGGAGGAGTGTGTTGGGTCCAGTTAGGGTCTGAGGATCTGGTCTTATGAACAGGGAGACAGAAAGCCCGAGGGGTCAGTCTGTGTGACAGACAGATCTTGCTAAAGCTTCAAGAGGCAGATTTGAGTCCACCCAAGGAGGACCTTAGAAGCATCAGCTCTGCCCAGCCAAGGAGTGTGCTCTCTTGGGGAGAGGCTGCTGTCTTGAGCAGCCGGTCCCTGGACAGGAGAGCCGCCCTGAAGGGATGCCGTGGAGGGGACTGCTGTCCTAAATCACGTTACTCCCTGCTCAGGACCCTCTGAAGCCTTCTCCAGGTCTTCCACGGCTGCTCCAGCCCCCGCCTGCTCCTCTGACCTTATTTGCTGCCCTTGGCTCTGGCACAGGGGGCTCCCTGCTTTTCTTCACAAACTTGAGGCACCTTCCTGGTTTAGAGACCTTTGCTCGTGATGCCCCCCGAGTCTGCAACACTGTTCCCTCCCTTCACTCGGGTGTCCTCAAAGAGGTCCTGGACTGTCCCACCTAAAAGAGCTCTCCTTTTCCCTATGCTGCGTCCCTGTTTACCATCAGGAGAACACGAGGTCCACGAGAGCAGGGAGCTTTGTCTTGTTCTAGTGCCTGGAATCCTCCGGCACATGCAAGTGCTCAGTGAGTTAAATGAATGAATGAATGACAGGGAGGCGGGGGCTTGGTGAGACCCCGGTGACTTCCAACCCTGAGATCCTATGCGGACCCTGATGACAGTCATGGAAGTTCTTCATTCAACGTTTAATTACTGAGCACTGATAGGCATTTGGCCCCGACCACATTCCCTCAAGGAGTCGGATAGGGAAGAGGCCCTGGCTCCCCTGGATTGCCATCCCACAGAGTGGACAGTGGCCTGCGTGGAGAGCCGTGGCTGATGGACTCAGGGTTTATGGGCAGGATCGTAGGCTCCCAGTGAAGCCTAGGAAGGCTTCCTGGAGGAAGAGGCATTTCAGAGGCATCTTGCAGACAGATCAAGAAGGATTTGGTCAGGGGGGCCTGGTGGGGAAGGGAATCTTGAGCAGAGGGAAAGGCCAGGATAGGCAAGCTGGAGTGGACCCTGACTCCGCACGTGGCTCCTTATGACTCTGGAGGTGGCAAGGAAGACAGGGAGGAAGGTACGAGCAATTCACTCATAGGAGAGGTGGAGGGTCTTGGGCTCTGGCTGACCCTGTGGGGGGATGTCTGGAAGCCCCTGCACCGAGCAGACCTTGTTCCTGATGGAGCGCACAGAGAAGGGGACAGAAATTTGTTTTTTTGTTTGTTTGTTTGTTTTTTTTGAGCAGTGAGAAAGCAGCCTCCCCTTCAGGTCCCTGGGTGCCCGTGGTGGAGGAGGAAGGAGAGGCAAGGGGACTGTCTTCCGACCCCAGGGGGTGGGGACAGATCTCTAAGCAGGGAAGACGGGGTGGTCCCTTTGGGGCTAGTAAGGACCCTAAAGGACATTGGGCCTTGAGTCCTGCCAATGTCACCCGTTCTGCTGGGTGTTCCTCGGCCTGACTCTCCTGCGGGGGA